TAAGTTTTATAGTCTATAATTATGTAATGCCTAAATATAAAAATGAATTAAGGAGAAGTATTAAAATTTTCATTTCAAAGTTTATCATGTTACTTTCTGAAAACCACACTCTGAAATTCAATAAAAAAAACACGGCGCCCCCTACTTACTTTTTTATTTCTTTACCAATTTTAATAATTTTGGTGTCAAATGAAAGAATCCTTCATGAACTTTTTAGTGATGCCTTAAAAATAAAAATTAATTATGTAGAAGTATTTTCATATATTCGGCAAGAAATCACGGCGCTCCCTTTAGATTTATAAATTAATCAATTTCAAAATAGAAAATGAATATAGAATGAAAGTTAAGACGTATATTAAAAAAAGTATTTATTCATACTGAAAAAATCTTATCAAAGATTGCACATATAAGTTTGTACGATAAGTACTTTCTCGATTTCGGAAAGGAAATCTCGGTGGCGCTTTAAAATCCTATTTTTTTTTCAAATACTCGTATAGATTTTGTTTAAAATGAAATTTGTGCCTATACATTGACTGGTTTTTAGATTATGAATAAAATTACTCGCTTGAAGTTGGTCATTTTTCCCCTAAAAATGTCCAAATCGCCGACGTTTTTCCAGGAAAACACGAAATAAAATAGTAAGTCAGTGCATAAGTTATCTTAATCATTTTGTATAAATAAATGGTAAAATTTGCAATTTTCAGGTTAGGTAGTTGGTGATAAAATTGTTGTAACAAATGCATTAAAATATGTAAGGGAGGATGGGGTGAGTTTTCCTTCAGTTTTATTAATGAATAGGGGAAAGGCGCCGGGTTTTATACCTGTCCGCAATAGAAGTTCGTAAATACTCAAAGAGGGGCGGCAGGGCGTCATGCATGACTTAAAATCGTTTAAATTAGTGAATCTACTTTTGTCATTTTAAACATGTTACTGTGTAAACGTACTCTTGTATCATAGTTTGGTGAATTTTCTGTTAAAATATGTCAGAGTTAAATCGTATCACGGATTTATATAAATCTAGTTCTACAACTGGAAACACGTTTTCTTTAACTCTTTTTGGCTTGCAGCCACAGCCACGGCTGCAAGCCATTTGTTTTGGAAAAGTTGTTCCGGTTAGGTGGTTTCCTGCTTACATTTGTTAGTGCATGATTGAACGTGAAACCAGCTGCAATCGTGCCAATCGCAACTTTTCGGCCTTTTCCGTCACTCTTCGGATTGATGATAATAGCCGAGGTAGTTCCGTTTGCAATCGTGACATTTCGGGCGATTCCGTCATACTGCGGAATCAGACGAAGTAATATTACGGAAATCTAAGCTATTTTAGTTACTTCGGTAATCCCAGTTTGTTTATATAAATAGGATTTCTATTTTTACTTGATTTATCGAAATTGTTCCGTTTCAATTCTTTTTCAAGACGCAAAAGTTATTTTCTTTTATAATTGGTTTTTGTCTTTATTAGTTTTATACAATAGAGAATGGTTACTGTAGCAGTATTCCGTCTCCAAAGGGCGGTCTTGCTTGCCAAATGATCGTGACCAAATCACGCAAAATATTAGTGCATTATCAAGTTACATTTAGATCTACTGACAGAGTTTAAACGTCTTGGTGAGGTAATCTAAAAATAGCCCATGCATATCATTAACCTTACCCTGTGTTGTCATCATAGATATTTTAGGTGTAACATAGTTGATACATGCTTATTAATTGGTACCACGTAACGAAGTCTTTTAGTGCATTAACTTGTCTCTAAAGCTGCTATATAAATGAAATTAGCAACTGCCAAAACGAATGACTCTCTCTCTGCGAAAAATGTGGAAATGAAATGTCAAATGTGCACACTTGTTTCCCTTCAGTATGATAGATAGATCTGCACGTGAGAGCCAATGTTAGTATTTTTACGATTGATTATTTTCTTTGTTAGTTTTATACAATAGAGAATAGATTTCGAATCGTTTTTGACAAAAAAATATTCGTTTTTACTAAAAAAGGTTGCTACTGTTACAATCAGTGGACTTCTGGTCCCTCTTTGGTCCAAATTTGCACGCATAACACTGGTGCTAAAACAAATGGGCACAGGTGCTCGTCCAGTCTTGGGCTTACCCTACCTATCCCTTTAAAAGTGAAACTTTTTTTTTTCGAGAAAAAAAAACTAAATAAACCCTTTATGATATACAAATACCGTAATTCAAAAAAATTGTGATAATAAATTGAAACAAAAAAAATTTTTTTTAAGAGATGGGATGATGGCACAACTGAGCAAGCCTTTCCTTTTAAAAAGAAACTTTATTTTGTATTCGAGTTGCACATTTAATTTGTATATTTCAGGTACAGATATATATATATATATATATATCTATCAGAGTGAAAACTTGCTTATATTTTATATGCAATGGAATATACGAACTTGTAAATTTGTTGTTGTTTTCCATGTTCATTCAGTTGTTAAGATCCACACGTAAACATGTTATTTAAATGCGGGTGCCTTCAATTAAAAGATTGGATTCAGAGACTTTGCACGAATATAATGAAAAATGTTTGACATACACATTTGCATTTTCAAAAGAAGTTTTCAAAAGGAACCCATTACATGTCTGGAAATTTGGCAACGAACGCCCTCCATACTTTACAGCTATTTAAACGGTATATTAATTTATTATGAAGGTATGAGTGAAGAAGTGCAATAAAAATAATTTGTATATATACATATACGTAACTTTCAGGAGCTCTGAATATAATTCAATAATAAGACATATTTTGCCAATTAGTATTAGTATTATATTTCATTTGATGTATTATCAGTCAAATATTGTTCCATTTATCAAACAAAGACCATTGTTTTGCCCTTTACAGCTCATTTGTTTTGTACAAAAACATTATTGTCAGAGAAGATTGGTTAGTTAAAGTTAACAATGCAGTAATTTAAAATCATATAACAAGCAAATTGCTGTCTTGAAAGTCAAACCAAAACACGTATTACTCTAAACAAGTATGTTATGCGTGCAACGAAATTATTTTATTATGAGATTCATTATAATTCATCGCAATAATAAGTTAAATGTACAAAGCATGTCACGATCAAAACTGTCATACAATGTCCAAAAAAATAGAAAAATACAGAATCCCTAAAGAAAGCCCAACACGACAAAATTGAAAATGTTGCAGGCTCGGTTTGATTGAGCCTGTTCATGGACGGTATTGGAAAGTGCAAGTCCCCGTCTATGCAACCTTGCAACGGCTTAAGCAGAAGTCAACATTTTAACATTAAAATGGTGAAGTTCTGAGCTACGAAACATCCACAGATATGTTCATACGGCGGTTTTCATGAAACCTTCAATGTGACATAGTAGTGTCATTCCATGAAAAGCGGCGTATGGTCCCCAAGTATAAGAATTCGTGTGCCCTAAACGAGAAAACAATGGGCGGAACTAAATAAAATGGAATTTTGAAAGGGGATCTGAGGTTATGAAGCCTGCATATCACAGATAAGACGCCAAAAGACAAATTTAAAAAGCAGGCCAAATGCAAGAAACTAAAAATACCATGTACAATGTATACACAGCAATAATGTCGTGCTGAACGATCTTCAAGACATTTTTCAGTAAAAGGTAAAAAGCAAAAATTAGGTTCGATCGTATAATCAGTATGGAGTACTGGTTGATTGCTTAAACGCTTAAACCCCCTTTTAAACTTTTGATTTTTTTCAAATGTTATTAAGAGGGACAGTTAAATCCGTGAACATGCACAGAGGAAACACTTTCAGTAAGCCCTGTCAGATAATTTCTCGGAATAATGAACAACGGACCGTGATGTCTGTTCTACATCAACAGATTTGAAATAATTTTTTTTCAAAAATGCTGCATACAATGTGTTTTTTCCTCATAATATCTCATTCCAAACTCTAGTTTTTCGGAAAACATTTTTCTATTTTTAAGCAACAGTGGCCTTGACCTTGAACCCAGGAAGTTCGAAAGCAATCCCAACATGTGTTTTTCACATAACGTTGTTATATATCACGTTTGATAACAATATCTCATTCGTTACTCTAGTTATTGTCCGGATAATATTTTTCTATTATAGGTTACAGTGACCTTGACCCGTGGCCCCGTGTTCCCCAAGGATCATGATCAGATTTAAAATCTCAAATATTCTCCATGGTTATATATTAAATATTTACTTGATAAAATTGAACTTTAAATAGCATGTTTATGAAAATGTTGAATCAATTTTTGTTACTTACCAAGATATTGGCATTAATTTTTACAGTTGATCCAAATATGAATCGTAATCCTAAAATTGACTCTTATTTTGATTCCATTATATAGAATTTCCTTTAGTTGTGTGGGGTATAGATATAAGCTTCGCGTTGTGTCTTGTTTCTATCTTTTTAATATCTCAATAATATACAAGTAAAGCGGTAGTGACGTTGGTATAAACGTTGACGTCATCTTGATTCCCGCCGTCAATACGTCGTTGTTGTTCCAGCCTATACATAGCGTACGTCTTCCCGACATTCTCCCGGCCACGAAATGATTACGATGTAGAAATGATTTCTAATGGGTACAGTTTCACAATAGGTCTCGAAGTGACAAGTCCATTACTCATGCGTAAAATTGCTGCTCGTGTGAAGCCATCATTACCTAAATTAACTGCTGGATTACGCCTAGTTTCCACTGCGTTCTTGGTGATTCATCATAAATCTGTACAACGTCGCCAACCTGAACTGTCTGAGTGTTGTTTTCTGTTGTTTTGTGGTACTGACGCAGTGACGTAAGATATTCGTGACACCATCGTAAACGATAATGACTGATAAGTTGTGCCTGCATTCTTGTCCTTTTTGTTACGTCAGACATTGTAACATTCTGTGGTTCTGGTGTATTGCCATCATATGGAAGGGATGTTATACGACGTCCATAAAGCAGGTGCGCCGGTGTTAATGGGTCCGGGTCTCCTATATCGGAAGTGACGTAAGTAAGCGGTCTGTCGTTCATTATACCCTAAATCTATGTTACTATTGTCTGGAGGCTCTCGTAACTAATAAATGAACGACCTAAAACTTTCTTGATGGTGGTTTTTGTTAGTCCAATAAGTCGCTCCCACCAACCGCCAAACCATTGTGCTCGCTTAGGTATGAATCTCCATTCAGTACCATGGCTGTGTAGAGCGTCATTAACTGCCGTTGATCTCATGAGTTGTTGAATGGTATTTGCTGCTGCATTGAATGTTGTTGCGTTGTCTGATATCATTATATGGGGTAGGGATTTTCGACTTGTAAATCTTCTAAACGCTTGGATGAAAGTTTCTTCTGATAAATCTGGTACCAGCTCGAGATGGACGGCTCTTGTTGAAGCGCACGTAAATAGACAAATATAAGCCTTATGCTCAATTCTAGAATTGCTTCGTACATACAGTGCTCCCGAGAAATCAACCCCGGTGACTGTAAATGGAGATGTATCTTGTACTCTAATTTTTGGTAGGGGTGGTGGATCTGGTGCTGTATATGGTTTGCCTGTTACCATTCGACATTGAACGCATTTACGGAGAAGGCTTTGTATATACTGACGGATAGATGGTATCCAGTATCTCTGTCGTAAATGTGTGATCAATGCACTTGCGCCTGCGTGAAATTGGTTCTCATGTGCGTCTAAAACTACTAACCGTGTGAAAGGATGTTTTGCGGATAGTAAGTATGGAAATCTGGTGAATTCTGTTACTGGTGCATTGTGGATTCTCCCGCCACATCGTAGAAATCCATCTTCATCCAGGAAAAGTCGTAAATGTTTCACTAGAGTAAGTCGTTTACCATTTGATTTCAGATTATTGATCTCAGCCTGATACTTCAAGAACTGGGTGTTATGTAGCCACAGTCGTTCAGCCTCTTGTAACTCTTGAACGGTTAAAGGTTCGAGTCTTGACACTCTTCTGGCTCTGTTTCTTGTGTGACAATTATGGATAAAACGTTTCACATAGGCAGTCACTCTGAGTAGCTTCTTATAGCGACTGAATATCTCAACATCAATGAGTTGGTGAATTCCTTGAGAGGGCTGTGTAAGGTTCGAACACCTTTCATGGTTTAAATCATCTTCTTCATTTTCGGTTGTTGTGAACAAAATGGCATTGTCATTTGCTTGACAGCTAGGCCAACTATTAATGTCAGGAAGCCATTTTGGGCCATTATTCCATAATCTGCTTTTCTGGTATTCCTTGGCTGACAAACCTCTTGTTAATAGATCGGCTGGATTCTGGTCTGTTGGACAATACCTCCACTTCCGGTTCTCTGTAATTTCGTGAATCTCCATGACCCTGTTTTGTATAAATGTCTTCAACTTCCGATTAGTCGCTAACCAATGAAGAACTATTTGGCTGTCAGACCATAGGTAGACTGAATGTGCTGGTATAGACTTTAACACGTGTTTTGTAAGACGGGCTCCAATAACCGCAGCCATAAGTTCGAGTTTCGGTAGTGTTAATTGCTTAAGTGATGAAACACGAGTTTTCGACATGACCAATGTAGACTGGTCGCTTTGACGATGTATGACACTGATCCATAGGCTTGTAGACTTGCATCGCAAAATACATGAAGGGAAATTGTATCATCTGCTAGTTCTGTCTGGTTCCCTACATTACCGGAAGTGATTTTTATGTCTGCTTTATCAAAGTAGTATCTTTGAAATATGTTCGTAATTGTACCATTGATATCTTCTGCTATATTCTGCCACTGTGTCTGTATGGCTTCCGGAAGTGGAGCGTCCCATTCGTAATTCTCTTTCCATATGACTTGTAGTAGGAGCTTACCTCTTATCGTTATTGGGCTGAAGAATCCAAGAGGATCATACAATTTCGCCGTTTCTTGGAGTATGGTGCGTTTTGTCATCGGATTTAGCCTATTTATAGATCTCTGGTTCAAAAAATATCTGGTCATTAATAGCATCCCATCTCATGCCCAGAATCTTCGTAATTTCGTCTGAATCATGTATGTCGTCTGCTTTGGAAAGCGCGGGCAAATGACAGCTGTTTGAAATTCCAGGAACGCAGATTAAAAGCCAGCATATGACATCAGGTCTCTTGTATCGTGATAATATTTAATAACCGTGCTTTCATCCGGAAAACTAGAGATAACGTTGTCTACATATAAATCTTTTTTCAGTATTTCACTCACCCATTTGTTGTTGTTGTTATCAAGGTGTTTCATAAGTGTAGCTTGTAGGATAAACGGTGAACATGTAGCTCCAAAGAGTATAGATTTGAACCTGTAAGTTACCAAATTTACTATCTGGATTGGTACTGTCACTTAACCACAGAACCGGGTGACGTCACGATCTCTTTCGTCAAGTTGCACGTGCAGGAATGCCTTCTCAATGTCTGTCGAGACAGCAAAATCTGTGTAAGCGAAATCTCATAAGTATATTGGTTAAGTCATTTAATTCCGGGGGTGTTGATTCTAAACAATCGTTTAGACTAGGGGAATCTTTATTTTGGCGGCAACTACAGTCATATACTATTCGGATTGGGGTGGTGGCTGAATCTTTTTTCACACCGTGATGTGGGATGTAGTGAACTCTTTTATCTATATTGTCGTCTGTAACTCTCTCGATAAAGCCTCGATTTTCTTGTTCTGAAATAATTTGGCCATACTTCTGTAACATGTTTGTATCTTGTCGTAGGCGCCGGATTGTATTTTTCGTTCTTTTAAGAACAATGTTATAATTGTCAGGTAACACCGGATGGTCACGTTTCCATGGTAACTGTGCTGAATAACGTCCGTCTTTGAATTCAATGCATTTTTCCTGATATGTTGCCAGGTAGTCGGAGGTAGTTTCATTTTCCTTTTAGGCTGAATACCTAGAGACTCTAATTTCCAGAAACGTTCTAGGTCATGTGTATCTGGCTTAGATATTAATACATTTAATATGCAGTCTGTAGCGGTATCAGTAGAAGAAACCGGAAGAGGACCGGAAAGCAAGTATCCTATCTTGGACTGGACAGCTGTGGGACCATAACCACGGATCACTCTATTACTAACAATATCCCAGTACTTATCTGCACCAATCAGAAATTATATATTGAAAGTGTCGTCATCTGTAACCGGATGTGCAAGTTTAAGCCCACGAAGATACGGAAGTGCTGTTGTGGCTTGACGTACGTTTCTTAAGGGGACGGAAATAGTTGGGACAATCAGGACATCTATAGCTATCTTTTCTTTGGTATCAGTTATTAAATATACTGTTGCTGTATCAATATGACTTACTTTCTTTGAAGATGAACCAAATGCTGCAAGCTCTACGACTTCTGTTCCCGTTCTTCTGAGTTTGAGTCTTTCTGCAAGTTCCTTTGTTACAAATGACCCCTGTGCCCCTTCGTCAAATAAAATGTTAACATCTGTACAAAGGTTACCAGATGCAACTCCAGATGTTACTTTCGCAACAGCGCTTTTCAACAAAACTTTAGGTCTAGAATGTGTAGTAGAATGTAGTATTGCGGACTGATCACTGGAACCGGAAATGATTTTGGAACCGGAAGTAGCTTGATCTCTTAAACCTGGAGTGTAACTTGGGGCTGTAGCATTCAAATTACTATGTGGGGTTAATGGCTGGGGATTAATGTCACAGATGCTAGAGTGGTGTTTTCGCTGACAAAAACGGCATCGATGGTTCGATTTACATGTAGCTACTTGGTGGCGTCCTAGACAATTAAAACATAACTTTTTCTCTTTAACAATTTTCTTACGTTCAACAGTATTTGTTACCTTCCTACAGTCATTTGCTAAGTGATGTTCGCCGCAAAAAACAAATCTCGGACGTTCCGCTCTCTTTTCATTTGTCGTCTGCTGCTTACGTGCCCCATTCGGATGAAATCGTGTCCCCGTAAGGAATGAAGCGGTAGCGTTATGAACTTCACCTGTATGTAAAGATTGACCTGACTCCAGAATAGCAATCTCCTTTTTCAATGCTTGTCGTAGTTCCGAAAGTTGCCAGTTACTGTTTCCATGGTCACGAGTCATGTTGTGTTTAATTTCAGCAGGAAGTTTCTCTAAAATTCTGGAAACAAAGTGATCCCTCGGAAGCATTAATCACAACAGAATAACATAAGAATTGCAGACTCGGTTTGATTGAGTCTGTACATGAGGGATAATGAATAAGTGCAACATCCCTCACGCCCCCTAGCACCGGCTTGAGCGGTACTCAATTCTCAACACTTTATAGTGTTGGCATCAATGATCCCGAAGGACCAGAAAATATAACAACACTGAAGTGAAGTACGGGGCAACTTTTTACAGCTGCCACACGGCACTTGACACCTGCTGTTGTGAAGTACAAAATTCTGGAAACAAAGTGATCCCTCGGAAGCATTAATCACAACAGAATAACATACACAGGGACAAGTAAATTACCGTAAGAGTCTTGACCTTGACCAAGTGACTGCAATCCTCTAATATATGACTCCATTTTCTCTTGAAAATTTCGTAAACTATTAATGTCAGAGTAAGGACGGGGTGAATCTAATAAACACTGCATATAAGCGTTTATAATCTTGTGTTCCTGTCCGAAACGTTCTCTCAGTAACGCAACTGCTTGTGTATAGTTTGAATGCGTTAACGGAAATCCCTGAATCACTCTAGCTGCATCGTCGTGGAGTAAAGATCTCAGATATGTGAACTTCTGTACGTCAGATAAAGATACGTTATTGTGCACACTTGACTCAAACGAATCCCAAAATGTCTGCCATTCTAAAAATGTTGCCGGTAAAATATAGGTAGCGTAAGTTTCGGCAGTTTGTGAAAATGAGAATACTGTCCGTTATGTATAGAAATGTCACTTACATGTCCATCGGAAGTACTGTTGGTCGTGTTACCGGAAGTGTTCTCGGAATGATATGCGATGTTGGGCACTGTTATTCATAGGCGGCTCATCTAGCGGGGGATCTACGGGATTGAGCAGCGGCGGTGGTATAACATTACCGGAGGGTTGTCTCTGTTCTGCTTCCAAGTTTAATCTTCAAATCTAACATATAATCTTCTGTTTCGACCATCTCAACTTCGAAATCATCCTCGTCGGTTAGAGTAATAATGTTCTCATTAAGCTCTTCAAGTGCTGCAACTTTAGACTGTAAATTATGAAATATCGTCTGGAACTGAACGCAATCATCAGTAGAATCTTCTAACTTCTGTAAATGTCTGGAAATAACAGCTTTCTGAGCGTCTCTCTTCTTTTTTAGCTTATTAAGATCCATATTTGTCTGTAATTTCTCACTAGTTCGTCACGGCACCAAAATGTGGGGTATAGATATAAGCTTCGCGTTGTGTCTTGTTTCTATCTTTTTAATATCTCAATAATGTACAAGTAAAGCGGTAGTGACGTTGGTATAAACGTTGACGTCATCTTGATTCCCGCCGTCAATACGTCGTTGTTGTTCCCGCCTATACATAGCGTACGTCTTCCCGACAAGTTGTTTGTCAATTTTATCCAAAATTAGGAATGTTCCTTTGAATATCAGAAATGTTTTACATTCTATTTCTGTCTAACTTATAAAGCAATGAAAATAAAATCGGATTCATTTGATCCTGATCCTAATCTTTTGCTAGTGAATACCAGGTGTTTAAAAAGCTATCCCAACCTACGCTTTCACATAAGTTTGCTGTATACCAAGCTTGAATTGCAAATTCTAGTCATCGTCCGGAAACCATGAAGTGGACCGACCGACAGGCTGACTCTTATATACACCTCTAAACATCGTTTGTTGGTGTATAAAAATTGGAGACCAATTACTTTATTAAATGTATAATAAAGATTAATTTCAGGTAGTAAAGCAAAAAGACTGAAAACTTTTCTATTTTCAGATACAGTGACCTTGACCTTCACCCAAATAGTTCAAAAAGTGATCCGAACGAGGGCTTTCACATGCTGTATATCAAGTTTGATAAAAATATTCATTTCAAACTCTAGTTGCTGTCCGGAAATAATTTTTTGTTCTATTTTCAGCAACAGTGCCATTGACCTTGACCCCAGGTGTTCAAAAATATTCCCAACTTAGCTTTTGATACTTTATCTTTTTAATTTATAGAAAAATGTCTTTAGTTATTTTGTTTTGTTAAGGAAAAGTATATGTTTCTATAAAATATTGAATTTTGTGTTTTAAAATGCTTTTATCCATTACTTTTAAAGTAAGACAAGGTTGTAGACAAGGCGATCTAATGTCACAACATATTTATTTTTATTTTATGTGCAGATATATCAAGAAGTAGAATGTGAAGTTATAAATATAGTTGGGGAAAGAATATCAAATTTCATATTTTGGCAGAAGATGCATCCGTTTTAGTTGACGGTTAAGAAAAAATCTTAAATTACTGATTTAAAGTTATTAAATAAGTTTACAGAAATATCTGGATTTAAGATAAACTTAGACAAAACAAAGGTTATTTAGATAGTCTCTAATACAGTACTAGATCGACTAAGACAAAATTAAAAGCAACAAAGGTTGACACACATGTTAATGTTTTTGTTTAATATTTGAGGTCGATTTAGAAAATACCATTGACTTAAATTTTAACAAACATCCCATAAACACTTCTTTTATGATTTTACATGGGAAGGCAAGGCAAATAAAAGATTATCAGCGCAAAGATTGTTTAAACATGGTTGATATTTATATTTATATACAAAGTTTAAAGATAAAATGGTTTGAAAGATATCAGTATGTTAGTTAAATAGTAAAATGTTATAAGCTAGTAAACACATTGTTTCAAATCAAACACGTTTTAAGCATTGGAAAAATGTTTTGATTATAAGTAAGATAACAGAATAATTTAAAGCAGCATGCCTCAAGATTAACGCTAATTTTCATGAAAATTTTGTAAATTTTTTAAAGTAATTTACACATTGCAAATCCACGTAAATTACCAAAAAGAGGTCAAAATATACATAAAATCTTCTTACTACATTAGTAACGCATAATAATTATAGTGATTGATACTGCAAAATCAGTCATTAGTCGCACATTATATGTAAATTATCCAATAAAAATTGAATCTTTTAACTTTTCTTAAGATCTTATTACATTTCTTAAGATTGAATTTCTTGACATAGTTGGGTTCATCTGGAGGTGTGCAGCTTTAATGCTTTCTTGATTAAGGTTTTAAAAGCTGATATGGTGTTGATAGGTAAACTTTGCGTAGACATCATAAAACAGTTATTAGACGCCGCGTGCACGCGCTGTCTAGTAGATATGCATTCGTCCATACAGCAACGGAGACATTTTAGACTTGATTTTGTGTTTTTTTTTTAAAAAAAATCACACTGTTTTCAAATTTTCTAATACAAATAACTTCTTTGATGTACAAAATGTCACATAGCTTCAAGGGATTATAATACAGTAAACTTCACTTATAGCGAACACGGTTATAGCGAACTTCCTTGGCCCTAATTTTGCCCTTCTTTATTTAATAAAAAAATACGATTATAGCGAACACGGTTATAAGGAATTATCGCTTATAAGGAACCCCTTTCTTAGTCCCAATTCAGTTAAAATTACAGAAAATTACACTGTCATAACGAACTCCAAAATATCAGCTATCCGTAAATAGATACCGCATTTTCAAATTTCGTTTTCATTTTCACGGATTAAAACTCGGCCGACTGTACCGTATATTATATACAGCTGTGAAAATGAATTTTTATAGCAGTTCGTAATAGATTTCTATTTAGGATATTTTTAGCATGAGTTCTTGTCACCAAGATAAAATGGTTATTCCTTTATTATATCATTTCTTTTCTTACATAGCTTTGCTTGAGTAAAATAATTGTGATAATTTATAATCTGTTTTCAACATAATCACGCATGCTATTCCTTCCTAATCCTTTGAAAGCTGCAAAGTACGATTGATTGAAATAAAAAGAAATCTATATCTTTTATAAGTAAAAGTCACTCTTAAAATATAATACAAGATATCCAATATAAAAGGAAAGAAAAATGGAAAATCTTGTTTAGTCTTAATCCTGGAATGAAAAAGAAAACAAGTTTAGAAACAAAATATTGTATTTTATGAGAAATTGAGAAAGGGAGTAAAACTGAAACTGAAAAAAAAGCAAAGGATTTTCAAATTAAAAAAGTACGCTCTCGGGTATTATGTCTTAAAAAAAAAATAAATGACAAATTTTTCTTCGTTATATGTGAATCTGTTCGCTATAAAAACTCCTTATACAAGGAACTTATTCGCTATATGCTTACAAGGAACTCCTGATATAAGGAACAGATTTTGAATGTCCCAATGAGTTCGTTATAAGCGGAGTTTACTGTAAACGTTTAACTGAAGTGATTGTGCAATGTTTGAATATCATTTTCTTTTTATCATTTATCTCATTTTATCTACATAATAATTAACGTGCCAATGAGCCAGTCTATAGTCGATCGTTCTAAAACTTAACCGTTGAGAGAGGTAACGACTCAGGCAGTGTCTTTCACTTCATTTGCTCCGCCTCTGTTGAAGTTCGGCTCCGCCTTAAATTGTCGACAAATGTAATATGATGCTCCGTATGCTAGCATTTAGTCTTCGTTGACGGGGCGGAAGGGAACCAGGTTATCTTTGATCAATATCACTTGTCGAATCATTAAATTACAAGTTACAAAGCCTAAACCACGCCCACTATCAGATAGGCGGTTCTCCCTCAACCGTTAAGAAAGTAAGACAAACTCTGTGTATCGGTTACGCTACGATCAGTAAGGGGAGATCACTTAAGAACATTTCGTCCACAAAATCATTCGAACATTATGCAATTCGTACCAATATTTAAATGCTTATTTTCTCGACACATAATGTCTTGAATTTATTTTAAGTATACTAATCATTTCAATTTTACTTGTTATCCAATTTATTTTGCTTCGACCAGACTTTGTCGCAACAGACAAACATTGCAGAATTTCAGACATGGCATTACTATGTGAATTTATGCATAAGGTTCTTCTTTTTCACAAAAATATGCAACTAAATTTTTAAACAATGAGCACATACCAAGAACATGGAGAAAAATTGAAAAACTTGATCTGTTTTACAATCATAACTTTTAAGCAGGAATGAGATATATCTATGTATAATAAAGAAATCAGATTTGTTATAGGCATTCTAAATGTACAGGGCAATTCTATAGATTGAATATATTTAGAACAGTTTTCGTGCAAACATTCAATTTTTAACAATATACTAGTTTAAATCAGGCAATTAAATTATACATTAAAGCTTGATATTTTGATAAGTAACAATTTGTTTCATGCCCAATACCGTATAAAAAGCTGTTATGTTAAACCTTTTGTAATAATGAATAACAAAACGAATTGTGTTCATGAAATTATAGCCAAAAAAATTGAGGCGTACCAACAAGTCAAGAAATGTAGGAGGCAATTATGTTAATTGGTATTTAAATATGTTGTATAATTTTAGTCATGTTTTCAATTGTTCTAATATTTCATGTATGGTTTTAGACAAGAATTATTCATAGAAAAAACTTAATAAAAAACAATATATTCACTTTTGTTTGAAATAAAAATTGCTGACTATAAAACTTGTACTTTTTAAATGCTGTGAAATTTATTTAAGGAATGTCAGAAATTTAAAGCCTATTTCAATATCTGAGAGTGAACTTACATACTTTTGATAGTGTCTTCTGTTGTGAATAATTCATATTAGGTTCGGAAACTAAGGATTGTAGTAATTACATATTGTTTTTAAGATTAAAAAGATATATTTTTTTGTCAAAGAGAAACATGTCTTGCCTACATGTATTGGCTCACGAAGTAGCTTGAAAATAGCATGGAATATCTTTAGAAGTACAAAATTGACAGAAGATGAATATAATAGTTGGGCAATTGTAAGATCTTTACTAGTTTAAACTACACTAAATAATTGAAAAATAACTTTTCTTCGTTACAGCTTAATTAATTGTTTATTAGAAGGTAGTAGATTGTTTGTTACAATATTTGTAAAAATAATAGCTGCGTTTATTGTATGTATGTTTATGTTCATGTGTATATGTAAATAACTGTGTTCGATAAAGGATATTTCTTACATTAACACCATTATTATGTAATATATACATTGTGTATTTAAGATGTAAGGTATGATTGAGTATGATCCTGACCTCTTCTATCAATAAAGGGGTAAATAAACGTTACTCAGATGTAGCCTTAAAGAATAAAAAAGGATATCTTAAAAATGATATTTTATAAAATATATATATTATGCTTACCAATTACAGATATCATAATTCAGATATAGACAACCAGATCTAAACTGGCAGAAATGGCAACAAATAAAGAAGATTATTCAGACAAACTAGCTAGTTTAGATTTCAAGTCAAAAATGAAGCTTTTTCAAAGTCAAAATAAGACAAAACAGGTAAATAATAAGATGTTATTATAAAATTATTGAAAAATTTCTAAACATGCAATAGAATTTTTTTTTAAAATAAACTTGTTATGACAAGGACACGATTGGATTTAAAGTCTATTCAAATAAATATGAGTTAGATACTAAAATATTTATTTTTATTTTCAATAGTCTTCAGAAGCAGTATCGGAATCTTCTACGAGAGAATTACCTAAGCCAAAACCAGGTAATATAGTTTTAGAATTGAATTTTCAATTTATTTGCAATACTCATAATTTTTTTTTCTTTTTCATTCCTTCAAATTGTTAAGTATTGCCTATGTCTATGTTGAAAATGTTTTAATGTGTTTCTTTTTGATTGCACTTTCTTACAGTTGTTCCAGGCTTTTTGAAATCTTTAAAAGAATTTGTGAAAAAAACTATAATTGATTTTCTGTTATTTTATATATTGTGATTGTAATACATTTGATCGATAAAACTTTCAGTACAATGGCAAATCAGAGTTTTAATGAATTTTCAAGCATCTATTTATCTTATGGCTCATTATGCTTAATAAGTTGGATAAAGTGTGAGCTTTCCAAAAATCTCTTGACATATAATTATACAAAATTACATATAGATTCACATTGAAAACATTTAAGAACATTTTCAGTTTCAACTGCGTCGAAGGAATCTCCGAACACACAAACAGACAAATCTAGCAGGTTTGAATGTCATCATTATAATGTAATGGGATAAAGTCGTTTAGTTCTTTTAATTACATAATTTTTATAAAAAAGTATTCTTTATCTTAAATTCGAAAGTTAACTGTCATTACTATTTTTACATCATATGCTAAATAAGTGAAATTTGCTTGTCCAGGCTATTTAATTTTTATTTTATTTTTCGAAGAATTTTTTGGCATTATTATTAATCTGAATAAGGGCAAATTTGCTCAAAATCAACGATAATTTAGACATTTTTATGAGGTATAAAATTTGCAGATTCTGTTTCTTTTTTATATTAAGAGCGCATGTCTAGAGTCCCTAAATAGCGTTCGGTGTAAAAAAAAACAAATCAAAAACAATTCAAATAATTATGTTTTTTATTCTGAAAAAAAAAAGTTTTTTCATAAAAATGATGTGCTGAGCATTGATAAAACGGCCCCTGTGTTGCTAGTGAATAAAAAACGTTTTCAATGGATATTAAACATGTAATTGGAATGTAGTGTAGTGTGTGTAACTGTCGTATAAATGTGCAATAATAGACACAACTTTATCTTCAAAATATCAGCAATGCTTACGGAGTCACGACCATTTGGTATTATATTATACCCTGCTTATTTGAACATAATAATATCGTTTTATCATCTCAAATTGAAAGACCGACTTGTAAGTAAAAATTACTTTTGCAAGGTAGCAAAACAGAAATTAGATTTGCGTCATAAGTAATATCTATAAATGCAGTATGAGTATGTATTACATCACAACAAATCGACTGCTTGAAAGGTGAAACGATCTGTAAAACACTAATTTGTAACACATATTGAACAGGAGAGAGAAAAAGCGGATATATTAAATTTATACTGAATGATAAAAGACAACCATTGATTAATATTGTAATGATGTACTTATTTCTGATTTACCTATGTACTTAAAGAATGTTTTCATTCATTTTCACATTGTTGTTGAAAAGGGAGTCTTAGGTAGCTAACCTATGTGTCCTACACCTGTTGTTAAATCCAGTTGCTGCCCCTATTTTCTAGTTTTAGAAATCATTTTCACAGTCCAAGGAGCCGTTCTAGTACAATTTGGCATTTGTATTGATAGATTAACACTCAAGCGAACATGTCAAAACATATATCATTTTTCAGTTTTGCAAGAACTACCTTACTGTATTAATGCTCAGTCAATTATTTTGTTAATAATATCATACAATCATTTACTTGTTCACTTTTATTGTAATATGCTCTGTCATATGTTTATATATGAGTAAATAATTGTAATACGTGTATGTTACACAATAAATTCAAAGGTTTATCTTTATTATAACCTGGGTACATTTTCTTTCTTGCCATCTTGTAACATGATATTGATTGTGGTTTCCTTTAACAATAAACTGATAATTCAGACTACTTGTTTCAATAATAGTAATGTTAAGATATGTTTCAGAAGGAAACAAATAAGCATAGGAAAAGTCAAGCACAAAAGAATAACTTAACAAAGCAACACTAGTGAACGATCTCCTTCATATTATGGTAAATAGGTGTGTTACGGCAAGCTGAGCTTTTGGAATTGTAACCCCCAGTATTTTCCATTATATCGTAATGGCTAACATGAGATATACATAGTGATTGAAAGCTAGTACAGTTCGTATACTTAGTGCAATAACTGAATAACTGCTGTTACATTTAGAAACACTTATTACATTAATGCACTATGCTGACGAGTTGTTTGTCGAGCGCTTATCTGAACCTCCTATATGGATGGAAGAACTTACTAGCTTTCTGGCAGGATTTTAATTACGGATCAAACGTCAGTTTATCGTTTCACCTTAAAGGCTAAACAAAGGTTTTAACTAAAATTCTCGTCCATGACCGCACAAGAAGGCAAAGACTGATTCGTCAGATTAACATGTTATGGTAATTGATGTTGATGTATTTTATAATGGAGGTTTATCTCAAAAAGGGACTCAGCTTTGTGTAAGGTAACCCTAATGGGCATCTTGCCGGTGGTCTTGTATTACTGGATTGTGTTGAGGGATGCTTTCCTTCGTTGTTGATTTCCTTGTTGATCATATTTCTCATAATTAATTTCCTTGAGGATTAAATCAAATTCGTGACAGGACATGACACATTGTATGTGCAAAGGAAATAATAACTAAGAAACTCTATTAATAACAATGTAATACCACGAATTAGAAATGAATTTGACACATTTGATTTAATTTAAAACAGATCTTTGTCGCAATAAATGGCTAATCTCTATTTTTATTATTTTATTGCATTTTAGCAGCCTTAAAGGTGAAACGATATTTAAACAAAGGTAAAATATACAAAAGTTTCTTCTTAATTAAGATATTTCATTGATTGTCATGATAAAAGTAAAAATATTTTTTATTTTATTACAACACTCGCCGACAAACGAAAAATAACTAAGATGCGCATATATTGGTATACCTCATGTGAAACTATTGTGTAATTAATAAGTGTCTCACAAATGTTCGGGTTACCATGAATTACAATTTACCTAAATATGTAAAAGGCTTCTACTTAAAGTCGATGCCACAAAACGCATTTATACCGAGGACAAACGGACAAACGCGAAACGATTAAATTACTAAAGTTTAATGTAAATAATATTAGAAGTTAAAATGTTTCATTATACAACAATCAAAATATGAGGATATAATTAATTGTTTTTATATATTTTATTTGCATGCCATTTATATACTAGTATGATAAATATTCTTGATATAGAAATACACGTTTTAAACTAAAGCTATGTAACAGTATTCTGCAAACATATTTACTGTGTAAATATTATTTGCTTATCTATACAATAAGAAATTAGGTGTTACCTACTATATATAATATAAATAAACATAACCCTCCTGCACTTAGCAAATTTAAATCATTTGTATGAATTGAACTTACATGATAATAAGTTGATTTTAAAAAAGTGATTATTTCAATTATTTCAGCTACATATTTATAAAAATGATCTGTATATTTTTTCTAAACAGTATACTTCTACCGAAAGTGTAATTAAAAACTGATATTGCCCTGTCGTCTGGGAACGGTCTGACGCTTTTGTTAAATGAATTTTGAAAAGCCTCCCGGGGTCTAGATAAATTCCAAATCCAATAACTCTATAATCGCTGCGCCCATCTAACTTAAGAAAATACGACCTTTTAGACTTAAAGTATATAATCATTTCATTGATAACAATAAGCTTTAAGGTTTCCCCCGATTACTCGTACATGTATAAATGTATGTAAATAAATGATATTATAGGTATAAGTTCGCATACGTATCCAGTCGATTGACACTTGAAAATGGTTTTGTTTATTCTTATCGAGAAAATGTCTCAAAATATATTGATATTTATTATATAATTATTATATAAATATTATAATAAAAAGAATAATTATATAATAATAATTATTAATAGAAAAAAAAATAGAATTAATTACAAACCTGCTGTGCTTGAGTAAGTAAGTCCATTTGGATAACTTTTTTGTTAAGGTACATTTTTCAAAAAGTATCAAAGATATTCACTTTAAAATTGAAGTTCACCTCCAAATTTAATAATAAATTATGTATTTCTGAAGGGCAGATAATCCTGAAAGCTATTATTTTATTTTTATGTCTCCCAAAATTCTTGGCAGATATATTATGTTGCCTTCGCCGTCTGTCCGTTCGTCCGCTTGCTTGTTGTTTGTCAGTCATTAAGCTTGTCCTGCTTTCACAGATCAGGCTACTGGTGGGATTTCAATGAAACTTCACAGAAGTGATCAGTACTATCTATTGTGGTGCACATCGCCGGCAGGTTCCTATTCGTTGCACAAAATGGCCACCAGAGCTAAAATAGACAAATATTGTCTGGTTTTCATAAGTCAAACTGCTGGTGGGATTTCGACCAAATTTCACAGGTAACATCAGTACAATACATTGTTTTGCGATACATGTGTTTTTGTGACAAAAACCCTTTCTAGTTCTGATTTCTCAAAAACAGTTAAAGATATTCACCTAAAACTTGAAATGTTTGACAACTATTAACAGAAAGAATGTCTGCTTTGCAGAATTATACTTTCATTAAGAATATACTATGTTTCTGTGTTTCAACTATTTTATGAATTTAAATTGGTATATATTTTTGAATTTGTGTACATACTTTGACTTATCAATTTGAATTTGTAGACTATACTTTTATTCATGGACTTGAAACATTTGAATCAGTCAATTCGAATCACACATTTTTATACATAGCACGTTTCCCAATTAGCAAACTTTTAAGCAAGATAAAAAAAAAAATAATTCATAATTATAATATTAATTATCATCATTTTCTTGTGGCTTCTAACAAGAAATGGTCCTATGATCACCGGGTTAACTTTAATAAACGATATTTAAAAATGTTATTTCTTACATTTAATGACACTTACACAGATGTCTTTATGGTTCTGATTTTTTACAACTTGATGCTAAAATAAATCATAAATGTATGATAAAAAACCCGTATGTGCC